TATGGCCCAAACATTAGCCACGAACATTAGGGCGAGTGGCCTCAAAAGGTCACAGGCAAAGGGCCTCATGCATAATCGTAAAAAAAACAATGCAGCACGCATCGCTCTTTCACTTAGCTTGAAAGGGGCTGGTCAAAAGCATCACGTAGGTCTAAAAAAATGTTTCAAGGAAGTTATCATGAACCAGGGCTTAAAGCAAACACCAACCAAATTAATTTAAGATATGTCTACGAATTTAAAGGCAAATGCTTTGGAATCCTGTCTATTTACTGAGTAAAAGGACTCATTATCAAGGCTAACTCAGAGCAGAGCCGAATAAATCCTGCAATATGGGTGAAAATTAGTTTGAGACATGCCTCAGTTGATGGCAGGATACTAATTAGTCCATAACGTCAGCAATTTATATGATGTATCCCATCAAATCCACTGAAGCTGGCAATATGTGGCAAAATGTCAATTAATTCTCGACAACCTTCGCAAGAAATAACTCGAGCTTATATCTAGATTCTCACAATAAATTTACGAGAAGGGGGAAGGAGAGTGAGTGGGCGAATGTTCAGGAGCGATTAAAAGCCTTTTAGTTGCCAATGGCAGTAATGAGGGGGTGTCCTCCCTCTCCTGCTCCTGTTGCCTTTGCTTCTGCTGTTTGTTGGCTTGCCACAAAAGCCGCCACCGCACACCAGGCAAAGTGCAGTCGTGCCACGCCCCCACACAGGAGCACGCTCCGCCCACCGGTTCCCGATTCAGGATACCCTTCTCCAGGACGCGCCGAGCTCAGCGCTTGCATTAAGTGGCGGTTGGCAAAGTTGTCGACGTTGTGGAACTTAAACACAATGCACAAGGCAAGCGAGTGCATACAGGAGCTCTACGTTTTTGGCCCAGGTGCAAGTTGCACCCACAACCGTCTCACATATCCTGCGGAGCAGGAGCAGAGCGAGGAGGAGACCGAGCGAACCATAAGCTGCTCAGGACCGGCTCGGAGGCGGAGAGGGAGAGGGACGTAGCGGAGCTATAGACGGGGATTGCCAGCTGTTCTTATGCCTTAAGGACATTAACCTAATCAACGCTCAGTGCAAGGCTCGCACTCGCACTTGCACGCACACACACGCACACCGCCACTCGACAGAATGTGTTGCATAACGAGGGGCGCTCTGTTGACAGGGCAGGACAGCGGGAAATGGAAAATGCAAGCGGGTGCGGCAGGGGAGGAAAATGCAACCGAACCAAGTCGAGTTAAGTTGAGCCGAGGGTATTGACTGCCTTTGCGAGTTATTGTTTAATGTTTGGTCCGTGATTCAGCACGAGTTTCTGAGCCAAATGGGTGGAGAGCTTACACAGAGAGAGAAAATGTGATTCTAGTACTAGAAAGATAACTCTGAATGTAGAAGAAAATATATATTAAATTAAATAATGATAAAAACTATATTAAATTAGCAACCTAATCAAGCTTCATAAATATTTCTCATCATTTTAATATAATCCTTGTCCGTTCGAAGAAATTTTTTTCCCGTGCAGGAGTCATAGCAAAGGGTAAACACTGGGATTTGCAAATAGGCAGATGAAATGGGGACAGGAGTTAATTAGAAAAGGACTAAGCTAAGGACAATGCAGACGGCTTGCACCGTACGACTTATGATTGCATAAAGTAAACCGGCTCTTTCGTACCAATCCCTCAGCATTCCGATCGCTGCTTACACAGAATAATATTGTTAAAGACAACACAAATACGGCAAGTCGAGTGCATTAAATTAATGTTGAATTAATGCAGAAAAAGAAGAGCCGTAGTGGCACAAAAATGAAACTCAACTCGATGTCATTTGCATGTTTGCCTGGACAAACGCGCGCAAAAAAAGAGTGTGTGCGGAAAAAATCGATGCAATTTTTGCCAGTTAAATGTGACAGTGGCTCCCTGTCACACGCCACCGCCCCCGTAATCGGACCGACATATAGCGACATATGTATGCATATAGACGCATGTACGAGCATGTAATTATGTCAGAGCTTGATTGTCCGATCCTCCCTTAGGCGCACATCGTTTTGCCAGTCCATAAAAGGGCCATGGCTTTTTTGCATATTGATAAGGTCGCTCCGTCGCATCGAATGCCATAATTGTCATGCCGGGAAAGCTGAACGAATTTTGTGCAACAAATTATTTGCAATAATTGCATAAAACAGCCTGATTTATGTGGCCGAATGAAAACCAATATTATTCCGCAAAACGTTCGAAAGCGGATGACAGCGCCTCAAGCAAGGCAATCAATTTGTGGACTTGAAATGAGGGAAAATATTGGTTTATATGGGTTATTTTTAATAAATGAAAAGAAAAAATAATGGGAATAGGTGTTTTCTCATTTTAAATTAAAAATGATTTGAAAATCCATTTTTCAAAGTGCCAAAAAGTATGCTATGTTATTAAGTGTACAAAGCATCTCTTGTAATTTCCTGTTATATATTGTATTTGAGTTTTCTATTTATAGATGATTTTGTATTGTATATTGATTATATCTAGAGGTTAGCTATCATTTAACAATCTATCAATTCCTGATCATTCAAAATCAAGCAACTTTAATGCCTTCGAGGGCTAATGAGCAGAGTGTGGAAAACACGTTTGATTGTTGTCAAGCATCGCCGTTTTATCAACTGTCAAACAACCCACTCCACTCCGGGCTCCTGTTCCCGCCCCAGAAATTTATGCGCCGCAGCGTATGCCACAGAAGAGCTTGAAGCTCGAGCATGCTCGAGTGTTTGCCAGAGTGTGAGTGCCATAGAGGGTGTGTGTTTGTGTGTGTGGCAGCTTCATTAAATTTGCACGCACATCTCAGAGCAAGAGGGGGCTGTGTTTCAGTGAAGACTGTGCAATTTCCGACGCAATCTTCATTTACAACTTAAGTTACAGCACAAACAACAAATACAGCTGCACATGCAAACAAACAACGAGCACACACACTTGCAAAAAGTGTAGCCGACTTTTAAGCTGTTGTGAAAACATTTTAGCGAATCTCATGGGAGAGCGTGTGTGTGTGTGTGGGTAGTGTGTGTATAGTTTGTGAGTGTGCGTTGGAGGGGGTTACGACTGCTCCATAACTAACCCCGTAGCACCTCCCTTAGTTATGCCTATGCGAATCAAGCCTAGCGGCGAAGGAGCAAAGGAGCCTCCGCCCCGAATAACAGGATATGCCAGGCAGAAATTTATTAGGCGCATTGCATACTTTTGTGCGTTCACTTGAAAAATGACAACTTTAATTTAGCTGCAAACACAAAGCCAGCAGACAGACAGACAGCCGGCGGTGGGGAGAGATGAGTAACGCCCAGAAAACGAGAAAAGGGCTGGAAGACAATAGCACCAGCCAGACAATGAGAAAAGGGGTGTACGAGAATGGTGGAGAAAGTAGAAAGTAGAAAGGAGAGCAGAGCAAGGAGAAAGGCGAAAGGATGAAGGCTAAAGGCCTGGGGCTAAGGAGTGCGAAGAAAGGGCTGCGAGACTATTCCCGGGTCTGGATCTGCTTTTGTCAGCTAACCACAGACATTGGCTCGGGAGTCCTGCACCGAGAGAAATCAGGCTTCCAATCATACCTAAAACTAGAAGATACCCTTGCAGTTTACAATTGGTTCAACGAAGAAGTATCAATTTCTGTAAAATTAAATAAAAAAAACCTAACAGAACTTTTGCTGATTTTCTCAAATGGATTGAAATACTGATTCTAATGCTGATCAGGCATATATTGAATGTATAAGGCCCGGAAATGACTTTCTCATCGTTTCAATCTGACTGAATTTAAAATACCCTTGTAAATGTATATATATTTAGATTCTTTATTAAAACCCTAATTAAGAAGTAATAAAATAGTGATTATATTAAGGAACCTTTTATTTCTTTTTTTTATGGGGCTTAGTTCGATTTCAAGTACTAGGGGCACAAATGGAGGCTGAGGGGGTATTAACGTTGGGGCAATTAAAGGATTTTCACTCACATATCGCTTATGCAATAATTTCTGTAGCAGAAGTAGCAAAAATTTAACTACAATACCTTTCAAAGATGTTAATATTGAAATAAATAAACATAATGGCCAGCTATATATCAACAATAATAATTATTCCCTTTCTATTAAAATTTCTTACAAAATTGTTGTTATGGGTAGGATTTTCTCCCTGTGGAGTTGCATTGCTGCCGGCTACAGTTGACTTTCGGATCATGGAAAACTGGAGAAGGGCAGCCTGTAGTTGTCTTTTCAGATAGGGGATTTCCCCGCCCCACACTTTTACCACCCTCCGCCCCATCCTTCGGCACTCGTCTCAGATGAATATTAATTACCATTTGAAAGCTTGTCATACACTTGTGTAAATTTATCAACAACAACAGGAGTGCCAGCAGGAAAACAACAACAGTGCCGGGGAACAGGGTACCAGGAACCAGGAAACAGGGAAAGGGTGGGTCGGGGATGTTGGAAAAGCTGAATCTGAGGCAGACAATAAGCAGAGTTGTCAAAGAGCAACACACAGACACTAGGAGGAGCACAGGGGCCTAGGCATGAAAATAGCTTTGAATGTGCAGCAGATTAGGCCGGGATTTGCATGCATAGGGAAAACATGTCGAAAGGACACTCCTTCATCGTTCGACTCCTTCTTCGGCTTCTCAATCGATGCCGCTGGCTGGTTGCTGGGGCATCCTACGAAATTTCGTAAATAAATGCATGAGTCGAGTCCTGGGGAATGCCACACAAGGCAATGTAATTGATACTCTCATTCCAGTGCCCTATGCCATTTTTCCCCTCATCCCTTGGACATCTGAGTTGCAAATGGCAAAGTGCAAATAAGTGCGCCAGAGATCAAACAGAATGTTTGCAGATATATTGTTAATATGAATATTTATAGTTTGGCCATGAATTCTACACAAGAAATCCTAAAGAGCTGAAGCCTGGATTGGCTTTCTCACACATTTTAGGGAATTTCAAATAATTTCTTGGTTTGGCTAATCGGCTTTCTCTTGTTTCCAATTACAGGTACCACCTACACACAGCCGCAGAACATCAACGCCAAGTCAGTGCAAAGGACGAAGCCCGCCGAGCACCGAGAAACCATCACCAGCAGCAGGATCAGCTGGCTAAGCATATCAGCCGAGTCCGAGGCAGACGCGCCAGTTGACCACCGCGGCAATAGTAGTGTTAAGCCGGGAAAATGCTCCAAGAACTGCCAGAAGGCCAAGGCCAAGTGGCGCTCCCAGTTGAAGCCCCATCACCAGGCCCACCGGGCGGTGCTGCACAAGGAGGCCAAGCGACGTCAGCGCCGCGAAACCGAGGAGGAGGAACTGGACAACATATACACACCCCCCAGCTCCAGTTCCAGCTCCAGCTCCAGTTCGACGAGCACCTCCACAGCAGTGGCCACCACCGTGCAGGCCACCAGCTCAAGTTCCCTGGCCACCAGAAGGAGTTCTTACTTTAATGAAACCAAGGTGAAGCGGGCGCGTTCGACGCTCCACTTGGCGCCCGAGGACCTGCAGCCGAAGCCCAAGGAGCCGGTCATCATCATCGACGATGTAGAAGAATTCGACAGCGGCACCAGCACTCGGGATCTGTTCGCGCGCAAGAGTCGCGAAGAGACGGAGGACGACGAGGACGAGGGACCGCTGGAACCGCGGGTCCTGCCCCTGCGCCCAGTGCCGCCGAATCCCTACGAGGCCGAGGAGATGTCCGTGGTCTACGCCGAGCAGCACTCCGAGATCAAACTGATGTGCGAAGTGGACCTGGACATAGCCACCAGCATGTGGTATAAGAACGGCCAGGTGAGTTAGTTCCAAGCATCTCCTAGGAGAGCCCTCTTAAGCTGTCAGGATCTGCCAACTTGTGCTGACTTTAATTGCATTCTTGGCCTTTTGCATTCCCCTACTCAATCCACTTCCCCCTTGCCATTCTTTCTATCCTTATTCTTTGTCTATCTGTCTGACTGTCTGTCTGACTGCTCCTGGCTTTATTTTTATTCCGGCCGAGACGTCTCGAGTGGCAGGACTTTTGCTGCGGGTCCGGATCCGGGAATCTGCCTGGGAGGGAGTCTGTGTCTGTCTCGGTGTCTGGTCCTTTGTCGCTTAACTGCCGCATTATGCAAATAGGATAATCGTTATTATTTGATAGTTTCTGATGTCAAAAGTGCTGGCAGAGCTCATCTTTCGAGGGTCGCGCTTCTTGCTCGATTGCCTCATTATGCAGCAGCAACGAGGGCTTCTAATTACAACTTTTTGCCATGCCAGAACGCCCACAAGTCGGCTTCTGCTGATGGAAATTGTTAGCAACAAAATGGGGGAAAACAAAGTGAAACAGAAAACAGCAGCCAGGAGCTACTAACATGAGCTGCAACTTCTTTGCCCCGCCAGCCCCAGCCGAAAGTTATTGAGTTGTAATTGCGAACGCAAACGGCTGTGAGCTCACTTTCCCAGCAAAAACCTCTCGGCGTAATGCAATTATAACTGTTTGCAGAGTTTCGCCGAGTTGCAAGCATGTTTTGCCCACACTTTGTGCGAAAAAAGGAGTCGCACAGAGATAGATAGTGCTCGGGAATGGCCCCTAACTCAGCCACACTCTTTATGAACCTTCAATTTGGCTTTACAAACCCCATCGGCCTCCGGTTGTGGGCAAATATGTCTGCTGATGTGTGTGCTTGTGTGTTTAGGTTGGTGTGGGTGTGGGAGGGGAGAGGCATAACCGAGGTGCACTACACTCCAGCTCAGGTGTAAATACAACAAGCTGCCAGGCCAAGTTGTTGATGGGCAAATAATAGTTGCAACTACCAGCAGCAATGCCACTTTGTGTACGTGCCAGAGCTATTTGTTGTGAATGTTGTGGATGTTGTTGTTGCTGCTGCTGCTGCTCCTCTTGTCTGTGGCAGTTAACTGGCTGCTGTTGCCGTTGCACTTGCAATCTGCTACTAGCAACTAGCAACGAGCAACCTGCAAGCGGCATGGAAAAAGTGTTGCACTCTTGCGGGCAACGCAGGCCAAACATTGTTGGAACCGGAAGCTGCGATTGTTTGCCTACTTGTTGTTATTTGCATTTGCATTCCGCATTAGATTCCGTTTGAAGCCACTAAATTGCCTGTCAGCAGCTGGAACTGGGGATTGCCGACACGTCGGCTTTCCAATTGCATTTGGATCGAAAGTGGAAATGTCTCGCCACACAATGTCAAGGACCTGGGAATCAGGGGTCGTTGGTGTGTGACTTAAGTATCCAGGGATTCCATAGTCTAACAATAACAGAGTCAAGCTCTTAAACTGAAATGGTGTTCATACGTTTCAGTATTGGTAATTGCATAATTTCTATCTAACAACTTTGTTGCACCATGATAAAGACATTGTCAACAGCAAGAAATTATCCCCAATTCAAGCATGTGTATTAGTTCTATAGCATATAATTTCTTCCACTTTCATTATCGATTTGATCGTTATTTCAAACAGAAAAGCTTCCCAACGATCGATGCAGTCTATGTCTATAATTTTCGTAGCACCATAAAAGACCGGTCCCCAAGGTTGCGTATCCCTGATCTAAAGGATATCCCCCTTCTCGTCCCCTGCCGGCACCTTGTCTTGTCTGGCAATTTGTTGGCTTTATAGTGCCATATTTTTGCGCCCGGCGACAATTGCCAGACATAAACCTTAACCCGGCAACAGAGTCAGCTGAAATAGGAGTTTTACGGCTGCAGCCGCCTTGTTGCACACTTTGTGGCGCTGCAAACTTATTTATGGCCCCCGGGGCTCAGGTTTAAGGTCAACAAACCCGCTCCTTCCGGCTTCCGGGGATAACATAAATTTTATCCGGCGACGCCCGATAAGCCTCCATTAGTCAATTAGGAGCGAACTTAAGGCGCACCATTAATAGACAAGTTGCTCTCCCCGAGGAAGACCTTAATGCAGCTGGCAATGGAGAGCGTAAATCACATCAAGCCGGCAAATTAATCAGTCAGCCTCAGAGATCCCAAATGAAAATGAGCAACAATGCGGTGCCACTTAGTGGGAGTGAAAGCCGCGGCGGGAAAGCTGGGAAAGCGGGGCCTTAACTTGCTAACACGCCGCCTGCCTTGTACCTTTGACAACTTTATTGAGTTACTTACATTGTCGGCCCTGGTCGACTGCAACTGCTGCTGCTGCTGCTCCTTCTGGCTCTGAGTGCTACAACGGCAAATAAAATCAACGCCACTGCAGCTGCAACAACAGCAGCAGCATCAGCAGCAGCAACAACAACAGCAGCAACATCCATCGCATCTGGGATCTGGGATCTCTGGCTGCCATCGCAGCGAATTTCCCAGCGGTGCAATTGTATTAGTTGTGTTAAAACAAAAGCCAGCCATGTGTAAGAGCCAGCGGAGGATGGGATGAGCAGGCGCATCCTGGAGGATGGGAGATAGAGCTACAGTAACGAGCAGGCTGCGGCAATTACAACAATGATGCGGCAACAATGTGTGTGCGAGTGTGTGCGAGTGTCGGCAAGAGTCAGCAAAGCGACATGTGAATGCTCTTTTCTTCTAACAAAATTATGTAGCAATGTCCAGAAGAAAGTAGGAATAAATACATGAAAATTAAGCCTGCAATAAACTACAGAAACAATTTGAAAACAAGCTCTTCGAAAACCAATAGTAACTTCTACAAGAAACCCAAGAGCAGCAGCATTGAAGGGAAACCCCACAGCAACATACAGTGGCCACACATGAGGACTTTAGAAACCTGTAACCCAAGCTAGGTCTTAAGTTGCCCGGTCTTAAGAAATATATCTAGTTTGTGATTATCCCCAGTTGCGTTATACCCTCCCCGGGAAATGCATTCGAGCTGCGCCCATTGACTTTTCCACACACAGCCTCCCACAGTCCCCCTCCCACTGGAACTCCTGCTCTAGTTCCTGCTCCAGCTCCGGCTTCTCACTCCACTCGATGGCATTGCAACTGCGGCAATGACATGCGACAAGTGTTGCACTGACAGCTTGCAACATGAGCGACTTTTGTTGTACTTTCTAGAGCGTTGCACAATGCATTAGAGTCCCCGAGCGGGAACAACGGCTAAAGGAGTTTATCCCTGCCCTATCCTGCCCTTCCCTATCCTTAACTCCTGTGTCTGCCAGTGTGAGTGCCAAGGAATTTATTGTTGAAAATTATCAAGAGGCTAATATATTTGCCGAAAGCAATTTCAAGTTAGCAGCTCCGAGTCGTCGCGGGGAATTCGGGGCGGCGGATGGCGCGACAGTCAGTGAGCAATGTTGGCTGACAAGATTTTTGCAATTCCAAGCAAGTGATAGATATAAGTAGCCATTTCTCCAGTGAGATGGGAGTGCTCCTCCGGCAGCGGCACTTGAAGGAAATAAGCGTCTGTTTGGAATGGTCTGAATGGATCTGAAGGAATGCCCTTCCTTCTTCTTTCGGAGCGAGGCATGAAGCTAATTGTCAGCGAATGTCAATGGAGAATGCATCCAGAAAAGGGCATTTATTATATTAGCTTTGCTCTTCACATTCACATTTTTATCGGCCTTAACAGGGCTTTATTTTTTGTGTGTGTGAGCTCTGGTGTTAAGTGAAATAAGGTTAGGAAGGGCGTAGTAAAACCCCGATGGCCCCAAAAATAACACAAAAAATACATATATATAATATTCATTTGCATTATTATGCACACATTCAGATCGTTGGAAATGAACAAACATCGCTGTTGGGCTAAAATTAAATGTAAATCGAGAATTGCCAAAAAAATGTTTTGGCCAACAATGCAATTAGAAAATTACAAAACACTGACCACCTTTTGCAGCACACCGATAACGTGGCCGCAAATTATGCAAAGTTATGCGTGCACGCCTTCAAATATTCAGCAATTTATGCGAATCGAGGCAGCTGACAACACACACACCACACACATACTCCACACACACACACCACGTGGCACAACAAAAGGCGTCCGAATTCATAATTACCCCAAAAAAGCAGGAGCGGCGGCAACAATGGCGCTGCGCGAAACAATCGAGCGTGTAATCCGGCGAACGCTCGTCGCTGTAAACAAGGATTTGCCACGCTCATTTAACGCTTTTGTCCGGCGGCCATGTTGCAAAACCAGGAAAAATCCAGGACTCACACACTCTCTCTCTCCACCGACCAGGTGCCAAAGGCCTGGACATGAGCCTGAGCTCTCTTGGCCCTCGAACTGCACTGGCTGTGGATGTGGATGCCAAAAAGCCTCGGATCGCCATCGACCTCATAAATTTCCAACTGAATGCCCCGCTGCACAGCCACGCAGAATCCAGTTTCCACTTTGCCAGTTTGCCAGTTTGCCAGTTTGCCATTTTGCCAGTTGCCAGTCAAATGCGTCGCTGGTTAATAAATTTTCTGCAAATGGCCGCTGCGGCGACTGCGGCAAATGCGCGCCGGAAGTCGCCTCACGCACACACACACACACTCGCTCGGACACCAATTCGGGGAGGGGGAAAATTCATATACGCATAAATATTTGCACTGCATTTGAAAAATATAAACGAAACGAATCGAAAAGAATCGCAAGCGACGAGACAAAACCGAAACAGCGAGAAACCGAAAATGGCGAACGCACAAACGGAACCGGAAGTGCAGCATACAAATATTCTGTTTACATTTTTTTTTTTGTTATTTTTTTGCGTTTTGATTGTACTGACAGAGTCTCTATTTCCCGGCTTTTCATATTTTTTATTTCTCTATCAATATAGCTTTAGTTATTTGGTCATGTTTTCAATTTTTAAGAATTTTTGGGGAAAACTGATAAACGCATGTTGAATGAAAGTCTTTTTTTGGAGTATATTAAAAGAGGCTCAAAAAGTTGGGGTTATAATAAATAATAATAATAGCTGATCTGGATTTAATGGGAAGGAGAGATACCTTGCTGGTTGGTGAGGGTATAGAGCTGTGCCTCCAACTGAAGCTCTCCTTAATCCGAGCCCAAAAGTTAATCTCTTTGCCTGCAAATGCAATTAAAATTGTGTTTCATTTATGGCCGCCCCCCTTCGCTTGCTTCCTCTTTTAGCCAGACATTTAATTGGCACTTAAACGCATTAAGCGTGCGAAACATTTCCACATAAATATGAATGCTTCTTTTTCGGTTTTTTAATTTTGTTGCATTCTTCATAATTTGTATTCCTGCCCTGCGGCCGAGGCATTTGAATGCGCACATAAATTCCCGTTTGCATTAAGCCCCGCACAGACTGGCCAACGGACAACTATTGGCAACAGTTTTAAGCCGCCGCCAGTTCATTGTTGCCACATTACCAGTGGATAACATGGGAGAGTGTGTGGAGCTCGTCCAGTCCTCATTTAATTGTCATTATTGCGATTGTTTGATGCAAAATGTAATAAAATGCGAAAGCGAAGCCCAAGTGTAAATAAATGGATATGGAAACATTAAATGCAATTGTTTCGCTCGGCGGCAGGAGCATTGCATTTAACGCTGGGAATTTATGGCCATTTAATGCGCTGCATTAAAAGTTTCAAAAGGCGCTTTGCATAATTCCGCGCATTTCTGGCATTAGTTTTAACGCTATCCTTAACGTCTTCTCTCTGCTTCCAGGTGGTGCACGCCATGGACCGCACCTCGCGCGTCACCGACTATCGCTTCATCAAGGAGGCCAACGGTGCCCTCACCATTACCAATGTGATGCTGGAGGACGACGGCAAGTGGCAGTGCGAGGCGGAGAACACGCGCCGCTATACGGAAAATGCCCGGCCCGTCAAGCTGGTCGTCCTGGGTGAGTTTGACATTTTCACAGCAAACGAGGGAGAGCTTTTCCTTCTGCTCCTTCTGGGATCCTTCTTGGATCCAGGATCAGCCGCGCCGCCTGTCACGACTTGGCCAAGAGCTTAGACAAATATTAAAAAGGTCGTTTCATCTGCCAAATTAGCCAGGTTTGGGGACCCGGGCCAACTGCGGAATGTGGCTCCTGGCGAAATACTCGCTTTTATGACTTTGCCATCACTGAGCAAAAAAGAAAATACAAGTTTCCGAAATAAAGACAAAGATAAGAATGAAAAACAAAGCGATTAAAACTTTTAAATTAAAATACATTCAACTAGCTTGGCTCCCTAAAGTTTAATAGAGACAAAGCTAGCTTTAAGATATCTTAAAGACATATTTACTCTATCTCTATATTATTCCCTCCGCAGATCGTCCCAAGCCACCGTATTTGCTGATCGATTCACGGCGCCTGGATGCCAGCAATTTGTTTGTGCCCGTGAAGGAGAACTCCGAGCTGAACCTGGCCTGTGTCAGCGAGGGCGGGAATCCACGACCCACGCTCACCTGGGAGGTGCTGCTCAGTCCCGGCGTGGACAGGCATGCCCAGAAGGTATCCGCCGAGGTGCTGGAGCTGGAGGAGATCAAGGGCGAGAAGGTAAGCTGGATGGCTGGATGTAATCCATTGAACCCGCTGAGTGACAAGTGGCGAGCTTGCCCAAATGGAACTCCGAGTGAAGATGAGGAAACCGCAGCCGGCCGGCAAACACATTAGGTGCGGCTCCCGCTCCTGGGGCACAAACAACGGATCTTCCGGACTGCTGACTTGGTGGCCAAGGGGGTGGCGTTGGCGGCCGGTCGGTGTTTGCGGTTGTGCCAAAATTTGTTTGTCTTGCACTCGAGCATAATGAAAAGCAGACATTTCGGTTGAGAAATGCACTCCACCGACTCGGCCGTCTCGCTCCGCCCACTTGCCACTCACTGCCACCTGTCAGGCGCACACACACTCTCGATGGGTGTGTGTGTGTGGGGTGTTTGTCGCTTGGACCCTAAATGCCACAAATTTGCGTGTTCGGGTGGTCACAGGACCAAGGCATGGCCACCCACCGACCTCCCCGGATGATTGATTGAAAACTGTGCCAACAAAATTTCCATGCAAGGTGGCAGTCCTTAGTGGGCGTTGTGGGTGGCAGTGCCCTTGCCCTTGGACTTTAATTTAAATTAATGATGTCGCGCTGATAACAGGCCTGACTAATTGGCTGCCCACACCGCCCACGAGCTCCGTGAAAAACGAAGGAACCCCCCTGTCATTTGGCCCAATTTGCCAGTGTTTAGCATCAAATTGAAATGGAATTTTTTAGCAAACCACCTCTGCCTCTTCTCTTTTCTTTTAGGTGGACAAAAACGGCTACAAAATCAACAGTGGTGCCAAGAGCGAGGCAAGGTTGCCAGCGGTGTACAGAGCCCATCACAATGCCCGGATCCTGTGCGTCATGGAGCATCCCACGCTGAAGATTCGACAGAATGCTTCCCTGCTGTTGGATGTGCAATGTAAGTATTCCAGGAAACTAGAAAAGCTGATATCTTGAGCTACATTTTCAAGTGAAAAGTGTGCTAAAGACTCTAAGATTAGGCTTTGGTTTTGCTATACTCATTTTCTTTAAATTATTAAATATATTTCCCTATAACCACTCGCTTAAATTTTAATTCCCTCATCATATATTCTATTATTTAACAACTCCAAACCTGTGTGACTTGCCACAAACAAATGTCAAATAAATGTCAGTGAGCCATCATCAGGCTCAGCGGCCCACAAAAAACTTTTAATAAAAGCCAAACACAGTGTGAATATCTCACCTTGTTTAATTACCTCAGGAGTACATGGCCGAAAACGAAAGTGGAATGGTGTAAATAAAAGTGAAAACCAAAAAGTAAATGTTGATTGAAAAGTTAAATTGCCAAAGTTAACACGGCAGCATCCAGAATGGAGCCCCAGAAACGGGTCAGAGTCGGGCCGAGAGAACAAAAACACGGCGGCAGAAAATTATTATGCAGCTGCAATGAACAAAGTCAGCGGAATAAATGAAAGCAAAGGTGAAATTATATTAATTGAAAGTGTGAGCGAATAAAAAGAAAAGCGGCGGCAAAGAAAAATATAATCAAGGCGGTGCAATGAAACCAGGCGACGGCGACGGCGACGGCAAGGACCTGCCCCAGATGAATATAATAAGGGCGACAGTTGAGAAAAGGACGCCTACGTACAATTGGAATGCAAGGATGAAGGCGTCAGGAAAAGGCAGGGAAAGGACGAAAAGTCGAAAGCCGAGAGGATTGCGCTGCGCTCTCAATTAGCTTAAAGTTAAGCAGGTGTCAGAGTTCAGCTGCAAAGGAATTTCCATGGCAATAAAAGCAATTGGCGGAGCAAGAGAAACGATTGAAATAAAAATAAATACATAGAATCCTTAATTGTGAAATTGATGAAAATTTAAACAACTAAGTAAAGGAATTTATTTTGTTGGGGAGTATATATATTTCTTTAATAAATAAACATTAAATCAGGGGGAAACTCTTCTGCAGCCTAATCTCAGATAATGGGCTTCCTAATCCTCAATCTTTATATTATTGCTTACTTGAATATTTAACTGAGGGAATATAATTTAATATATATAGTTTATTTATTTAATGAATAATGAATGAGAAGCTCTCCTGTTGCTATAGCAAAATAAACTATTTAACTATTAGATTATATATTTAGATAAATTACTGTAACATTCTGTTGCCAAAGCCAGGTCAAAAGCCTTTACACTCTCACCTATTCTTCCTCTGATTAGTCCAAATCGAGCACCTTTCGCTGCCATTGATTGCTTAGTGACTCTCAACTGTCCCATCCATCAACTGGCAATTGAGAGTACTAGTGCCGCAACAGTGATGAAATCACTTGAAAGGAGACTGGTGCTGGCCCAATGCATGCCCCATGCATGGCCAGAAGCCACAACAAAGCTGGGGAAATAAAGATTGGAATCCTGGCGCGGTCGCAAGTGGGAGTGGGATTCAATGGCGATGGATCCGGTCGATGAGGCGAGGCGACAATTGGAAGACTAGCACTAATTGGCAGCAAAATGCCGCACACACGTTCCGGCCGCCAGCCGGGTCCTGGCGGATGGGTCTCAATCAGAGGCAGGACTAGGATCAGGGATGTACCGCAGTTATTTGCTTTATTAATGCCCGTGAAGCCACATAATGCCATGACAAATGCCCAGGTAGTGTAGAGCCCATGAAAATGATTGGAAAATATAGAAAAGCCGTGAGGGGATTTGCATGACACAGAGTCCTGCCACGAGTCCTGTGTGCTTGTGTTTGTGTGTGAGCTTTGGCCAGGCATGAAAATTGCAAAAACCGCAATAACAACAGCACAAGGCCTCACACAACAACCGCATCGTTTTCCGGGTTCAACAAAAGGAGTAACAAGTTCGTCCTGATTCGTCCTGTTTTTTCCTTTTATTATTCCCGCTCCCCCACCCATTTGCTCCGTGCGCCGCTTGTATAAATTAAAAAGCACACACATGAAAGCATTTGCCCGAGCCATAGACATTGTGCCCTGCACATCCGTATCCTTATCTGTATCCTGTATCTGCATTTGTATCTGTATCTGTATCTGTAATGGTGACTGCGTTTAATTTGCGCATTTTTATGCAGACAGTTGACAGACAAATCAAGGACAGGGCATCGGTGGCAGGTCAGCAAATTTAAGTTACAGCAACTCAAAGAAAAATATTTAGGTTTTCATTTAAATTAGGGTTTTTTTATGGCCAACATTTCCTTTTAATTTGAGCAATTTCCAGAGATGCCAATATGAATATTTAAGGGCAGACACAACCGATTGTTTCAAATACATATTTTCCGCAATAATTGATTGAAGTTCGAACGAATACAATCTAGGCACAAGTTAAACAATTTCCCAGCCTTTGTGTCAGTCAGTAGAGAAGTGGCCCCTTTTAGTATTTTTACACACACCGTGATCCTGGCCTTCCTTCGACAGGAGGAAAATCGTCAGGCTTCATGGAATAGTTGGGCAAACAACCGACAAACAAATTTCATTTGTCCCTTGGCATCTGCAGACCCATTCCGGGCGCCTAATCAAATTGTATTAGTTACAAAAGGCCACAAAAGCGAGTGATGCGCCGAAAAATTGAAAGGATTGAAATGAATGCAGGCCCATTTGGGGAGCATATTCTTCCTGGTCCATCTGGTCGGGTGCGGAGAGTCCGAGTGCCGGCCAAATGGCCAGCACTAATTAAAAAACATTTGATTTATGCCTATGAATATGCATTGAATAGAAGGGCGAGCACATGTCTGGCTGGCCACATCAAAGGGGGTCGGTCGGTCGGTCGTACGGACGTTCCCATTATTTACATTTACATTTAGATATACATTTTGTCGATGGCTTTTTGACATGCACTGAATGGCTTTCTGATTGGCAGTTTGGGATTGAAATCGGACTTGCAGTTTGAATCGTATATCGAATTACTTTCGAACAAAACGAAATGAGATGTACCATGGCGGGTCCTGGCAAATAAAGAATAGCGAACATCGATGGCGCAGTATTTGGACGACATGGCGGCATCAGTGCCGCTAACTAACTCCAGTTTTGTTGAAAACTCTGATTTGAAACGGGATCTAATTGGCATGTGGCACTGGTAATTGAATGCTGTCAGGTTGTACTACATATTTAATTAATCAGCTGCCGGAATAGTGTCAATTATGCAAGAAGCAAGTGTGTTATACATCACTTATTTGCTTCAGAGGTTTAAAAACCAATTATTAAAGTGTGTGAAAAGTATGCACACTTGGAAATATCCTGCTTTTATTTTACTTTTCCACTATAAACCAAAAGTCATCAAGCAATTTTTAATCCAATCACCGCAAAGTGACAATTTACGCATTCTTATTTACCTTTCACCTGTCCAAGGCAGACAGGTCCACCACTACCACTACCTCCACCATCGCCTAACATTTGCATTTAGTTTAATTATAAAACTTTCTCCTTCTTGCCTCGAGTTTGTTACCCCTTCTTCTTTTTGAGTAATTTTTTAATTAAAAAACTATTTTGTTGATGTTGCCACCGTCTCCAGCGGAGAGATAGTGCCGAAAATCTGCAGCCAAAGCCAAGCCAAAATAACCATCTGTCCCCCGTTTGCAGACACGCCCTCCTTCGCCATCTCGCGCACACCTGGCTTTGGTTATCCGCTCCGCGAGGGCATCGAAGTTAGCCTCAAGTGCGACGTCGACTCGAATCCTCCGAGTACTCCACGCTGGCAGAAGGACGATGGTGACACGCCGGTAAGTCTCTTGGGAGTTTTGTCTTAAAACTCATACAAAGAAATAATAGTATTTTATATTTATTTACGCTCACACGTTGAGATATATTTCTTATTTAAAACACATTTAATTGTTATCCAAAAGTAATCAATTCAATATTTTAAGTTTGTAAATTTGTTACTCTATCTATGTAAAAGTTTGAACTTTAAAGGTGTTTTAAATACCTTTCTGATTTCTGTAGTTCTTTAAGTTTGCATAAACTCTTTCTTTCTGTGTAGGAAAAATGCGGAAAAGTATAGAAAATCAGGGGGGAACTCGTGCATACGTAGGCCATCGCCATTGGCGGCACTCGGCCTTTTGTGTGATTTTCGGCTGAGGAGCAAGTTTTAAATGGATTTTCGTGCAGTTGTCGCTACCTCGAGAAGTTCGGCTAAGGGGAAACTTGGCCGAAACTATTTGCCTTGCCTTAATTACCAAAAATTGTTTACGCATAACGGGCCAAAACTCATTTTCCATTCCTCACTCACTCTCTATGAGTGTGTGCGTGTTTATTTTTTTACCCCAGCATTTCTCTCTCTGATTTGACAATTTCCCATTTTCCTGATCATTGCAGGTGCCACAAACGGGCGACGGTTTCCTGAACTTCACCTCAATACGGCGCGAACACTCCGGCTGGTACAAGTGCACGTCCCGGCACCTCAACTTCCAGTACTCGTCGATTGGCTATTACCTCAGCGTGCGATGTGAGTATGACTATGAGTATGACTATGACTATGAGTACTGAGTACTCGCCCACGAACTCCCCCTGTTTCTACTATCAGACACCCGTAAATTAGGCCGCGTATGCGTGAAATTGCCTCAAAAATGGCGCGTGATAATATTTTGGCCATTAGTTTGCGCCTGTAAAATTACTTGTTATAACCCCCGTTCGCCAAAAAAGCCAATGGAGAAAAATCAGCAAACATTTTACGACTCTAGCACGTGGCGCTGAGGACAATATTCGGTGTGATTTTTTCGGGGATGTTCTTCGCACTGTCAGAGGCGCCTTGTGGCGCCACCCCTTAGCCGCTGCTGCTGCTGCCATATGCAAAATGTGGCAAATTTCATTGGCATTGGCAGTGGCAGTGGCAGTGGCTGAGAGCCTGTCAACCCCCTGTCTGTGCCCCATCCTTGAATGTCCTTGCCTCGAGTATTTATGCTTACGCGCCATTTTGCTGTCAATATTTTCTCGTTTGCGGGCTGGAATATTCGGCATTTTATGCGCCCAATGCGTGTTAATGCTTGTAAATATTTTTATTGAATTTTCCCCGCCGCATTTTCCCTTACATTGTGTGTGTGTGTACAAAAATGCCTAAGAGCGGGATTACCAGCAGCGAAAATCAAATTATATAGCTCGCCAAAACTCATTTGCAGCCTCATTAGGCGGCAAGTGCAATCGAAGGAGGAGCATGAGCAGGATCAAGGACTTACGAAATGCACTGCCACGCCCCAAAATCAGTCTTCCTTAACCTGACACTTCCCCCGCTAAATCGCTCATCAATCATGACGGGCAGAGGAGAATACCTAGAAAGGAACTAGACAAAACGAAAAAAAAATGAAATAAAATATTGGTAATAACAACTTGACAAAGTGTTGCCACTTTTTATGCCGACGCAGGGATCAGGAGGACGCTCGCCCGGGTCCCCAGGGGAGGGATTTTTCCATTTCGGCACTCCTGACAGCCGCCTGTCGATGCTCATTATGGGGAAAACAAATGCTTTATTAATAAAAACAGAAAAGAAGAGCCCGAAGAGGCCAAGAAGTGACGGCGGCATCGCAGGCCCCATCGACATTATCGATGATTGATGGGGGCCGCAAGGAGGAAACTTTTCCACCGCCGGATTTTCCGATTTTCCGATTTTCCAGCGAAATCTAATTGTGAGAGACGCTGAGCTGGCAACATGTTAAGCACATAAATCAATTTGTAAAACGTTTTATCGAACTCGGGAGCAAACTGCCGAAATGGCAACAAATCCAACTGGCAACATTCGGCATCCGAGCCCCATTTATGACAACAGGCGTCGTTGAGATCCTTCCTCCACATGTGTGCTTGGTCCGGGGGGTGGTGGAAATACCTATAAGATATAGTAGAGGAAAGGACACGACTCGCCTGTCATAAACTATAAAACAGCTGCCCGACCCCATGATAAATGGCGGCTGGCAAAAATACTTTTGAGGCAAACCGGCGAAAATTTAAGACTCCCAGAGAGATAGAGACCGAAAGCAAAGAAAACCTGATAAATCGCATTTAAGTTCGGGCAAGGAGCGAGGAGGAACAAGAGAGAAGCACCACCCGAAATCCCAGACAGACGTTTGAATGCCGGCTTAATTGCTGACGATATGTTTCCTCCTTCGAATCGCTCCGCCATTCAGCTGGAAAATGGAAGCGAATGCCACCAGGTAGCAGCAGCAGCAGCAGCAGCAGACGAAGGGAAAACTTTGCTGTCGACAACAAACGAGGACACCGCTGACAAACTGCAATGAAAAAGCAATCAGCGATGCCCAGCCAAAAGCTACAAGAAAAGCGGCGGAAAAGCGGGGACTGGCCGTGCCGTGGAGGTGGCACATGGCGGCCCACAAAAGTAGGCAATTTGACGCAGTTGCTCAAAGTTTTCTGCGCCGGCCACTTTTGCGTGATTGATTCGCCCGTCGGAAGGCAGGACTCGAGGCTCAGGACTCGGGCGCGGGATTCGGGGGAACAGGACACACGACACGGCGAGCTTGTTAAAACGTCGCTAATTTGACACGTACGTCAACAGGAGCGGCGAGCGTGACGTGATGGTCGGGCTTGGGAATCCAGGAGGAGCCTGAGCCAGGACCAAAGTGGACCCAGGCCCCGACCCCAGCTAAGGGCCCGCTCAGGTACACTCCAAGTATAAGCCCGGCCATTGACCAAAGTTCTGTTTGCCAGCCTCATTAATGAGTTAAAGTTCTCATTGAGGCTAATTAATGTTGAGTGGCCTGCACGGCGTTCGGGCCAACAATGTGCAATTAGTGAAAGTTTGCCAAGTCAAGTCAAGCCAAGCCCAGTCAAGGGGAGTTCACCAGCAGGTCCTTCATAAAGTTCATATATCGTTTGATTTGTGCCAGAATGAGGTCCTTGGGTTTGTTAACATGACTTTGACTTACTGGGAATAACAAGTAATAGGGCGCACTTTATATTTAAAACAAGAAAGGAAGCTAACCTCGGCACGCCGAAGTTTATATACCCTTGCAGATAGAACTTTATGAATAGGAATCCATACAATATAAATGATATATATTTGTGTTAAAAAACAATGAAGTAATACCTGCTATCATTTCATTCACCTATACATATGATATTTGCAGTTTTACATTTACAGATTTGCATTTTTCCTCTACATCAAACGATAGTTTGTATGGCACATATATGATATAGTCGTCCGATTTTCATGAAAGTTGGCACTAAATTTAAAGACTAATATAAAATGGCTATACCTCAAATTTTATGAAAATCTGTTGAAAACTGAAAAAGTTATAATTTTTAATTGTATTAATTTCTCAATCGTTCCTATGGGAGCTATATGATATAGTAGTCCGATTTTCATAAAATTCTATGCAAAATTGTAGAGTATAGTAAAATGGCTATATTTCAAATTTGATCCAATTCTATTGAAATCTGAAAAAGTTAAAAATTTAAAAAAAAAAATTTTCCGATCATTCCTATGGCAGCTATATGATATAGTCGTCCGATCCGGCCCGTTCCGACATATATACGAGTGAGAGTATATAGAAGGCTAACTACAAAGTTTCGTTCAGATAGCTTCACAACTGAGAGACTAGTTTGCGTAGAAACGGACAGACGGACAGACGGACAGACGGACAGAAGGACAGACGGACAGACGGACAGACGGACATGCCTAGATCGACTCGGCTGTTGATCCTGATCAAGAATATATATACTTTATATAGTCGGAGGTGCCTCCTTCACTGCGTTGCAAACTTCTGACTGAAATTATAATACCCTGCAAGGGTATAAAAAGGAAAGTAGAGTTACGCTTCCTCAAGCTATTTAAGTGAAATACTATCACAGGGATTGCCTGTGCTAATTCCCAGTCCCAGGAAGGTGATTAAATGCCATCCGATCCTCCAGAGATGACTTTGCGGTTAACCCTCCTGCTTGAGGAATCCATGTGCAAAATGCATTCGCCTCGCTCTGAACTAATTTGGGCAACCAACTGTCGTGAAAATGCATTCCACCACCGTGAAGCCACCGCAAGGACTCTCTGCCACATGGCCACCAACCACTTTGCTCGCTCACGAGAAGAAAAACACAAACGACGACGGGAAGGAGCTCCTCTGGGGAAAAGGACACTCGAGCTGAGCTAAAGGCGAATTACGAATTACAATAAAATTTAATTCTACACGCTATCGTAAGCATTTTCATTGCGAGCCATTTCTTACGCCGATTGGCAGGGTCCTGGTCCCTGTTATCCATTATCCTTTGTCATGCTGGTTATCGCGGTTTAACTTTATTGTTTATCCCGCCCAACCCCTCCCCCTCAAAGAACCCTCATGTCCCATGTCCCATGTCCTGCTCCTTGTCCTTGTCCTTTGGCCGAGCTAAATTTCTGTGTTTATCGGCGCGCACGATTATTAGTTTTTTTGTTTGCTGCCTTTGTTTTTATAGCCGGCGATTATGTTTTCGGTATGTGTGTGTGTGTGTTTGTGTGTGTGAAGGGTCCGAGGGTCGGCAAAAGATTTTCAATAAAATTTTATTTGTTGTTGCCTCAAATGAAACGCAAAACTCATTTTGGGGCCCCGAGTTGCTTTCGGGCAACTTAAAGAAATATTAAAAACTCATTGCCGACAAATGTCCTTGTGTAAAGTATTTTTTATGGCCGCAAACTTTCGACGGCATAAGCGTAAATTTGTGGCGAGAGAGATAATCTTTTATGGATATGTGTATGTATGTACACATCTTGGGTAGGATCTCCCCAGCTTAAGTTCACTCGGGATAATTTCCATAACTCAGGCATCCAATCATCGAGTTGCTCTCTCTCTCTGCCCGGGAATCCCCTCGTTTCGGTGCATCCACTGCAATCATCTTCAATTTCAACTCATTGCAAATTAATCGCGTGTTCGTTCGCTGAAAGTCTTGAAAAATCTCAGCGCAGCGAGGGGGAAAAATTAAAATTTATAACCGAGGAGCACGAGCACAAATGCAATCACAGCCAGCCAAGTTTACTGCAGCTCGCAGCTTCCGCTGGCTGTTTATGCAGCCTGTAAGTTAAGCTGATTGTTGCCTCGCCACTCCCCTCCGGATGATGCTCCTTGCCGCCTTGATGATGATGTTGCAACTCGTCGGCCTCCTTCATATTCATGACTAACTATGCAGATGGCGATGGAAACGGGGACTGGGAAGGAGCTGAAAAAATGGAAATTAATCCCGTGGTGCGGAGCAGGAGTGCTAATGAAAATTGCAAGGCAAAAAAAAAGAGAGTGATGAAAGGATACCCTTTCGTTGGGAACTTAATGTTTTACCTCCGCCACTTAACCCCCGAAAAAAAGGAAAAACCGGCCAGTATCGAGAGTGAAACTTTCAGGCTGCCAAGCTATTGTTGAAGGATTTATGGATCGCACTCACCCGTCATATTCACACTCCTTCGGACAGGGGAAAGATGTGTCGACACATTGACGGGGACTCGATACACTCCCTTTGGGGTTCGAGTTCGGGTGCGGCCCTGAAACTGGCAGGAATCTTGGCTGCTCCTGATGATGATGCCCCATGATTAATGATTGGTGGCGGAAATCGGGCGAGCTCTTCAGTCAGTCAGTCTGCCCCTTCGTATTGATTCGGCTTGTTTGCATTAGTATTTGCTGTTTGCCCTTCACATTTGCCGCGCTGTTATGAGTTGGGATTTATTCGAGTGTGCCCCGGCCCGAAAGATATGCCATAAGAATCACTTTCTCCAGGCCTCTCTTTGCCTCGCTCTAAATCTCCTTCGGTGTCGCCATATGGGCGGTACTCGATGCCCATTTGTTTGCCTTTGTTTATTTGTTCTTCCCTTGGTTTTTACCCCCAGTGTGGGCGGACACTTTTATGAATGGCCATTGAGTAAAATATGCGTGAAACAAGTGCTGGAAATTATGAATGTGTGTGTTTGTGTGTGTAGAAAACTTGGGAAAATATTGAAGGAGTTTGTTTTTCGGGGGCGGCAAAGAATCGATTCCCCACTCGAGTCTAAGGATACAGCTTGATAAACTTCCTTTGACAATCTGGTAGCAAGTATTTGCACAAGAAGAATGTAATGTCAGTTGTATTTCAATGGAATGATTTCACATTGGGATAACTTTATAAAAAATAATATTGTTTATAGTTAGAAATGAAAGGAGAGCTGGAAATAAACTTAACAGGCTTGTCACACAATATATTTTCTCTCGCATTTAGTGCAATTTTAAATTCCCATTAGTTTCAAATCTCCCATAATTTGATCGAAATTCGAAACCGAAATAGGCTCGTTTACTTCATAATTCAAAACAGTGCGAGTCTGAAGAGATTAATGTCAAATTTTCGGTGATTTTTCCTGTCTCTCTGTAGAGACTTTCAGACACTTCCCTTATCGCATTGCCTCAAGACATGCCGCCGGCTTTTGGCCAATGACAAATGTCTGTCAGTTGGGCCGAGACAAGCTGAGCTCATTAGACATTTTCGCCAAGAGTCTTTGCGACTGGGAGGGCTCTTATTTCTGTCAAAGCTGCACTAGAGCACTCCCTGTACTCCATTCCCCTGCCGCCACTCCACTCCACACCCCCTGCTGGCCATTGAAGTTGTCAATTTGAGCGACGACGCCTTTGTCCGCCTTTGTGTCGGGCAATAAAAAATTTTATAACTACGTGATTTTGACTAAGTAACACGCCCCGTTCGCCGAGGGGAGGACTTTTGCTATTGTCAGCAATAAAACCCCGGCCGAGGGGTGTCCTCTGGGCTGATTGACATGCGACGAAGGGTCTCTGAGGCGAAAGGAGCTTACAATTAATTGTAGCTGGAGAGCAACGTGGTCTCTCTTTATGGCAACCCCCTCCAAAATCTCGGTTGCGCTCAACTTCGGGGGTTTCCCTTCGATTAAAGTTGCCAGCGGGTCTCCCGGTAATTAGTAGTTTCTGTTAATTGTGCGGCTCACTTTTGGGTCTGCTAATTTGATGGTCGCCTTAAGGAGTCCGAGCAGCGATTGAGGTGTTTTTTTTGTGCTCCCAACCATCCGCCTTGCATCCTTTGTGGGGCTTACATCTTACTGGTTAGAACTCTTGGGCTTTTCTTTTTTTGTCTCCCAGGCAGGTCGCCACTTGGCAACTTATTGTTACGATATCCGGCCGCAGACAAAAGACGCAGACCTGGCCGGAGGCGGGCCGCATACTTTTAGGCACATGTCAGGGCAAATTGTTATTTATACCGTAATATGAACGGCGCCATAAAGTATGCCGCACAAAGGACGCGCTGAAATTTAAAGCCAGAGCCTGGCAAGGCAAGTGGAAAATATGCGCCTCGTCCTTGCTCCAGCCGGCTCGGCCTGCTCCGAAATTAGAATGAAGCATCGTTATGGGCTCTTCCCGCCCCCGGAAAACGACCATAAAATATATGTATTTATGAATTTTGCGGCGAGGAAAAGATGATTGCAGCTTGGGCAATTTTCCAGCTAGCTGAGCAGCGATTTTCACTTTTAGTTGCCATCGAAAACGGAAGTGACAACTCATTGCGGAGTGACTCAGGTGTTCCCACCGCGTCAGCAATTTGTTGCTGCCTCTGTCATTGAAATATTGTCACATTTGACAATTGCCAACAACCGCGGGGATTGGTACCGAAAGAACAAAAATATGCGACGAAGGCTGTGCCTTGAGCTTGAGCTTTAAAGGACTCCCCTTCGTTTTCAGTGCACGAGGCCACATGTGGCCTGAAGTTTACAGCTTTGACTCACCTCTGTACTCTGTGTCTTTTGTGTCCTTTCAGACGATTCGGTGGATGTGACCTCGGAGCCGGATGATCAGGATGTTTCCGTGGCAGCTGCCTCGCACAATCCCAACAAGGGGCAGCTGGAAGTGCAGCTGGGCGGAGCGGTGACTCTGCAGTGTCCGCAAGGTAAGTCCAACCCCGTTGCTAACCTTCTCCGACTCCGACTCCGGCTCCTCCTACTTCCTACTTCCTACTTCCTACATCCATCCCGGTGGCCAAAAACTTCAAAGGAAGCTAGCTTTTGGGGCATTCGTGGCCCATTTAGAATGACAAATGCGTCTGGGGCTGTAATTACATTTTACATTTTACTTTCGTTCGATCGAAACGGGCCGTGGTCGTGGCCTTTTGTGCGCCTCTTCATTAATTAGCGCAATTGGAAATTAATTATGCGTGCAATTTACTTTGCTCACTTTTGGCCAAATACGAAAATAGACAAAGTGCTCGACCGTCCCGTTCGTGGCCTCTCGACCGGCGACGCATCAATTAAAGAAATTAAAACTTGCGTGCCGAGTGGCGCGTCTCTCGCGACCTCCCGGGAAGTCAATTAATTAAATTATGCAATGGCTTTCATGTCTTCCCTCCCTCGTTTTAGGCTCTCTGGGCTGCTGGTCGCACTTGGACCCCATTTCGGCCCGATTGCGTGGCCTTGGCTATGGCAGCAGTCAGCCCACCGGACAGTTTTCGCTCAAGGACGTCATGTACCAGGACGCGGGCATGTACAAGTGTGTGGGCCAGTCGCCGGCCAACAAGAAGAAACTGGAGGTCCTGCAGAGTGTCACGGTGTCGGTGAAGGGTGAGTTATAAAAAATGTTTACCATCTGATTTAACTAGTTAGTCTAAGAATGTCTTCCAATGAAATTTCTATTATAGTTTCTCAATTTCAAAGGTTATCCTTAATGTAACTTCAAAATAATCGCACGTCGAATATATTTTCTATATTTCACCTAGTAAACCAATTAAAATCTAAAATCCTGTCTCGAAAACTTAAAACTAATATTTAAAGAGCTGGTCACTTTGGGGTTTTAGTTCTTTAAAATGGTCACACTTTCTGAGAACTCTCTTTCTCTTTTGGTCACACTTTTCCTAGATTATTCTCTCTTGGTTACACTTTGCTAGGATTATTTAATCCCCTAGTGACCCGACATCCCAATCAAAGAAATGAAGCTGCAACACCTTGGAGCAGTGAACTGCTTCCGCAAATTGGGTGTGGCCCAGTTTTGGATGACTTTTCGGTGGGTGGGCGTGGGACGTGGGGCGGCTTTTCCGAATGGATGGCAACTCAGGTGACAGCGAGGAGTTAAAAACATTAAAAACTTTGACAGCAGTTTCGGGACACGCCAGAGCCAAGGAAAACAAATGAAAAGTTTTATTTTCTTGCTGTCAGAAGTTCGACATTTTACTTTGCATGTGATTTTCCCCAACGATTTCGCTTCGTTTTTCACCTCTGCTCGCCGTCGCTCGGTTTTTGTGCGCTTTTATAGTCTGGCTTATCGCTCGTTCTCTTGTCGCATTGACACTTGTCAAAATCTTTGCCTGGGCGTGTGGAAAACGACGCATGATTGATGACATTGCAAAAGGCAATTCCAATCAGAAGCTGGCTTCCCCTGTCACTGTCTCAGCCACCGTCTCCGTCCTCTGCTAGATATTAAGTAAACGACAAGTGCAAGGGAATTTGAAAGAAAAATTGGAAATCATGCTGCCGGAAATTAAGGAAAATGCGTTAGCTTTGACTTCACATCAACTTTGGCTTCAGCTTCACCTTTAGCATCAGCTCCAGCTGCCTTGCTGTTCTCCAGCGCATTAAGTTGTCTTGAGGCGAAAGCCAAGTGGACATTGAGACAATAAAACTTGCCAAGTGGTCGAGCGGAGCGCTGGAGAGAAAGAGAGATCGAGGGGTGGCTGCCAGGACCAGAGGATGAAGATGAGAGCTAGGACCTGGCCCGAGCTTACCCTCGAGTGCAATCCAAACATGAAGAGCTCAGCTCACACAGTGGCTCTCCGGATCTCCGGACAAGCCAACCCAAGCCAAGCCAAGCAATCAAACAAAGTCCTCCTGCGGAGAAGGAGAAGGAGTGAGTGTGGGGTCTGTGTTGTACACGAAATGGAGACACTTATAATGCTCCCGCATGCAATTTCAAGGTAAGACAGTTTGTCATTAAAACTGCGAAATTGAGTGCTAGATAAACAAAATACGAAAGCAGCCAAGGAAGTGGAAATACACCAAGAGGTAGCTGGTAGGGTGGCACAAGCGTGGCTGCTAACACTTAACGCAAATAAACAAGGACTCCTCCGCCAGGGGATGGGCTTAAATGGGGTAAGCTCTGGGTTTAGCTGGCAGAGGGAAGCGTGAAATAGTCATATTTATCAAGTGCCAGACGGCAAAAGGATTCCCAGGCTTCCTAGTCAAAGACGACAGGATACCGGAGGAGCAGAATGGGACCCGGAACGCATAGGAAAAACAAGAAAAAAAAAAGAAGAAGTAAAAGAGAAAAGCGACAGCCATACAATAGATTAAATTCACAGCCCAACGGCAAAGGAGTTAGGATGCTTTAGTTACTTCCACTATTTGTGTTTGCTTGTAAAATTAAACAAAATACAAAGAGCGACTTGGAAAATGTTCTTCACTCAGCTGTCTGCAAAGTTTCGCCCAGAGAATCGAGCTTCAAGGAGATAAAAAAAGCCTGGAAAGTAGGGATGAGCTTCATCCAATAAAGACTAGCTGCACCGCCTTGTAATCGCTCCTCAAACAGGCAGCTCGCCCGCTTATACCTGCCGCATAATTACCAAGTCAAATGGCAGAGGGCCAGAAAGCGATGACAAAGGGATTATTAGCAGTGCCCCCAATCATTTGCTTCGTTGACATTTTTGATTAGTCCGAGGCCGAGACCGAGGCCGAGGAGATGAAAGCAGTTCTTCATTATGCATATGAAAGTTTCCATCATTTTCCCCCCATCTACTTTTGTTCTCGCTCCTCGCTCTCCTAATGAAGTCGTGACTTGAAATTGCAGCCTCTGTTGCCGTTACGCTTCGTTTGATGGGAGGTGGGTGGTGGTGGTGGGTGGTGGGTGTTGGGTGGAAATTATGCAACAAATAGGGAGTGGGGCTGCAGCACCTACATACTTGCATATGCAGCTACTTGAGGGGCGGGCTGCGAATAAAATAAATGTGCATATGAATTTTGAAGAAAGCCAAAAGGATTCGCGGCGGCCCCAATGCAAAGTGCACTTACTTACAAGGATCCCGGGTATCCTGAGTGTGCGTATGGGTGTGTGTGTGTGTGCGCCCAAAATTTATGCTTGTGTTAAAGTTTAGTGCGTGTGCTGGGCAAAAAGTTTTGCAGCAGGAACTTGAGCAACAGCAGCTGCAAAAATGTTCAGCACTCACACAAATTAAATAACAATTTTCCCTCACAATTTCGCCACTCTTCGGTTTTTTTTTCTCCCTCTCTCCTATTTTGTTGTATTTTTTTCGGTTCGGTTTCTTTCTGCCCCCGTTCGCTGTCGTTAACTTTATGTGGGCGTTTTCTTGTTGACAGTGTGTGTGTGCGGGTGTACTGGTATCCTGGTGTGTGTTTGGTGGGCGTAGGGGCGTGTCAAGCTCTGCATATGTTAACTGGGAGTTGGCAAAAGTAGCCCAGTAGTAGTAGACTTTGCCTTCTTGCCAACGCTTTTTGTTCCTGCCATGCATTGCAATTTTATGTAATTTAAACAAATGCAGCGAAAAGTTGCCCCAAGTAGCTGCTATTTCGCATTTTTGTTGTTTTGTGGCTTCAAAGTGCATTTTAATGAAGATTACCAGGCACTGGACGCTTTGGAAATTAAATATAAAATGATTTTTAAGTGGGAAACTTAAGCAAAATACTTGCAAGTCTAGCTAAAATTATTGATTAATTCTGCCTTATTTAATAAATATTATTCAGGACCACTTGCTGACAGATTGTCTCGAGATTCCTTGCACCACTTGGCACCTCTCTATATTCCTTATTGCCAAAAGTCCCCCTTTTGGCAATGCCAAGCTTCTGCCTAATGATTATTTGCGGAATTTTCATTACAATCCAAGGACCAAGGAGCTGGGAACTGGGAACTGGGAACTGGGAACCATGAACCAGAAACCAGAAACCAGAGACCCTGAGAGCCTGCGACTCTCTGTGAAGTATAATAAGAGCCCGAGTCCTGTTGTTCGGCCTGTTTTAATAAAAGCTTCTCCACGCATATTCCACGCTTAATTTAGAACGAGAAACGTAGCTCCCCCGACTCCAACGCAACGCCCCTCGAGCGGTACGCGAACATAAATATTGCTTTATGCGCTGGCACACTCGAATTTCCCAGCCTCCGCTTTTCCACCCACCTTCCCGGCGAGTTTTCCACCCCTGGCCACTCCGTTCTTGGCCCTGTTTTATGCATGCTAATTTGTAATATGCATGTTCGCCGCCGCCGAGCTTTTGATCAACGTATGGAGAAGGAAATATTTTCGCATTTTTTCATTTTCCATGCGTAATTTTTCATCTTGGCAAATTTGCTTTTGGAATTTGGCGCGTTTGCAGCAAATATTGCTTTGTTTCTACTCATTAGGTCGCAGTACTGAGTTGCTTTTCTTTTCTCTCTTTTTTTGAGGATTTCATTTCATAAGAAATGCGTAAGAATTTTTTGCTGCGCCCTCCTCCTCCGCATGCTTTTCATTTGTGCCTCATTTAAATGGCAATTTATTGCGCCCTGCGACAAGGCTTTAAATTCGGCAAGGAATTTTCGCAGCAGCTGCGCCAAATTGCATGTTAAATGCCTCGCAACTCCGCCCGAATGCGATCTTGAGCCCTAGATAAACGTTTTCGAAACGGGCTTTTCGAGGGTTGTTCCCCTCACATTGAAATGAAAATTAAACCCACTGTCGAGACTTCAAAGTCTGCCTTTATGGCATTTTCCAAAAAAACGAAAGCCCAGGGGACTCTCTGGTAGATTGGTAAATAGTTTAACCACCGACATGGGGGATAGACAGACTGAGACGGGCCTGAAAATACTTTGAAGTATGAATTTGGAATGTGAGAATAATAATTTGATTCCAGTTCTGCACTCGCTTCGATTTCCAATTGATTTGTAGGCAAATATTCGAAGGAACCCCTGCCTAATTACAAGCTCAAAAAGGATGTGCATTTGCCAAAGTAATTTCTCTGCAAGATAGATTGAGAGACTCAAAGAAAAACATTTGGTCGAATGCAATGCCAAAACTTTACCCACTCATTACTATCCGTATCCTGGCTGGTCCTTGCAGCGTTGTCAACAGTTTCGTGTCATCCCTTCTTCCTCTATTTGTCGGTGTGTGTTGTCTTTTGCACAGAATGCACTCAAGCATTAATTTTTACGCTTCAATTTCCCAGCAAAACACACACGAACATCCTCTGTAGTACGAAGGAGACCCAAAAAAAAAGAAAAATAGAAAATGTTGACTAAATTATAATTTTCCATATGTGCTGCCCAGCGTCCTCCCTCTTGTCGTCTCTCCATCCGTCAGTCTCTCTGTCTGGAGTCGTTAGTTAAAATATGAAGTCAAAAACTTGTCATCAGAAACACCCCGTGAAGCTAAAAAATGGCCACCAAGGCAGCATGTAAAACTTTTCAGACAGTTGCAGAAATCATTTTTGGCCATTTCCCTGACTGGGCCAGAACGAGACCGGGCTAGACAGCGCAGCCAGGATGGAGTATCCTGACTTTTGTGGGTGTTTTTGGGGGCGCTTTTGGGCCCTCGTCGCCTGTCTGCAGCTGCAGCGGAAATGAGCTGAAAAAGTTGTGCAAATAGACG